TTTTGAGTGGGTTGGGTCTGATGAACACTCCTAGACTTGTTCTCCACTAGTTTATTCACTGTCGGTGACATGCCCCCCTTCCATTGGTTGGAGACATGCCCCCCATAGCCTTGTTCATGGTTTTTGACGTGCCCCCTTTGCCAAACTCAACTACACTACCATTCTTACTACAAGCATGTGTGGCTTGGGTTTGTTGTGGCTTCTTGGGCATGTGTATCTTTCTATTGTTTGTGGTTGATGATATGCCCCCTTGTCGACCCTTCATGGGTGGCATGCTACAAGGGGCCTTGCCTTCTTGTGCACTCGTTGACACGTTGTCAAAGTTATGAAAATCATAGGTGGCATGGGTAGGCAACACCCACTTAGACTTGCCACTCACTCCATCCTTCATGTCTGATGACATGCCCCCCTGCCCACTGCATGGAGATGGAGATATGCCCCCCATGCCATCCTTAGGAAACAAATATGATGTTCTGTTGGACACACCATTTTGTTCACCTTTCTTGACATCAACTTGTCCCCCAGCCTGACTCTTCATCTTCAACTTGTCAGGTGGTAGGCTTCCATGCACCTCTTCCTGCCCCCTGGTGGTTTGCATCCACTAGACTGCTTAAGCATCGATGGGAACGAGGGTGGGCAAACTTGTGGTAGCACATCCATAGCTAGTGACCCTCCACCAACTCTCATGTTCAAGAATGGTCTAGCCTCTGAGACAGTTTTTAGAGTAACTGTATGCACAGGTGGCGGTTGCTTTACATGGGTGGTGAATGTGTTAGTAATATTCTTGTCATAAGCGCCTTGTTGAAGAGGTGGTTGACTCATTGCCGGAGGCGGTAAGTTCCCTGACCGTGGCTGGGTAGTCCGGCAACCGGAGAGTAGGATAATTGTATACTCAGTAGCAATACTTGGTGGCGGATCTGTACCATTTGTTGGTAAAGAAATTTCTCGCGCCATTGGTTCTATAAAATATTTTTTAAGCTTATCCAAGCAATTTGTATTTTCTGTAGTTGCTTCAAGCAATTCATCCAAACGTCTATCTAACATAGAACTAAAAGAAGCAAGTTGTAGACTTGTCTGTTGTGAACTTCTAACAAGTCCATTCAAACTCTCTTCCATCAATCGACGGATCTCCACCATCACTTGACGGTTCTCCTCCGTCGCTTTGCAGTTCTCTTCCATCATTTGGCAAAGAGACACCACTGCCTCGCCTAGGTCTACATTTGGCGCCGACGTGAGTGGCACCTCCGTTCCGGCAAGGTTGCCTGAAGCTCCTCCAGCTTGGCCTGCTTCACCGCCGGCCACTTGCTCCTCCTCCACAGCCCCTTGAGGAAGATCATCCTCTTGATTCTTTCGCCTTGGAGACATCAAATCAAACACACAGCTGTCCCACCGGGTGTGCCAATTTGTTTTCCGGCGAGGAAAATCTAGTGTTCGAACACGATGAATGCACCTTTGACTTCTTGAACAACGATAATTACACGGTTCACTCCTCTCCGAACAATGTTCGAACGAGGGTGTTTGATGTTTTTGATGGTTTTTGGGAATAATCTAAGTTACGTTACTCTACTCCTATGGAGGTTCAGTGAGAGCTCCGAAAACTAAGGGCTATGGCTAATTTGCAGAGAAAGGATAAAAGTTTGACATAGTGTGTCAAATGGTTCTTTGTGGAACCCTTTTCCCGTCTTCGTTTCTTCTATTTATAGCCACCGGGTGTAACTGCCTTGGTAACCGCCGTAGTAACTGCTAGCTGGCCTCTTGCTCCAAACTGCCTCGGGGTCCCTTGTCCCGCCTTGGTGACTAGTTGGTAACCGTCGCCTTGGGGACCTTGTCCCGTCTTGGGGCTGGTCGGTACTTGATAGCCTCGATGTCGGGTTGGGTTGTTGTTGAGCCTTGTCGCCCTGTCATGACTGGATGGGGTTGAGAGGTTCTTGCCTTAGCCTCCATGAACCATGATGAGGTCTTGATCTCACCCTCAACTGCTTGACGACTCCCCACTCCTGAGACCACTACCACCTCATGACACCAAGTCCTCCTCATTAACTTGTTGGTTGTTATCAAGCCGTCTCATCGGCTTGACACCTTCTGGCATGCTACCAAGCTCATGTAATTAACTTGACACTCCTTGCTACCAAGCCATCCCTGGTGGCTTGGTCTCCATACTTAGTTTTTGTAGCCTCGTCAAGTTGGTAAGTTGCACCCTGCCGGTTGGGTCCTATTTGGTAGCCGGCTTGGTAGCCGGTCGTAACTTAGTCGTTTGGCACCCCGTTGTGTCGCCTTGTTTCCAGACTTAGTTTTTGGGAGCCAAATTTCATACCAAGGGGTGGAGGCATCGTCCGGCTATGGGGGCCACGGAGACGGGTTGGCCATCGTATAGAGAAGAAGGGATTTGACCACTTAGGCCCAAAAATCGAACCCAACAAGGCCCAACTAGCTCTTTTAATTGTTAATGTTGAGTTGGCCTTATAAATCCATTAAATCTCTTGTAGTTAAACGATGTGGTACGAGCTGATTTTACTGTGGGTTAACACTAGGGGTGGTAAACGGTCGGTAACCGGTTTAACCGGTTACCGACTGACCGGTTTCCGGTATACCGGAAAGCTTGTCTTCCCCGCCGTTTGCCGATACCGTGCTTGCATCGGTATACCGTTTACCGAATGCATTCGGTGGCGGTTATTATTTCGGTACCCAATTACCGAATGTGAAGGGGCTGGGGACCGGTGAATGGTGATGATTGATGACGGATGGTGGGGACTGCAGCTGCACTGCCTAATTTTGCACTTTGGCTTTTTGCAAGACAAAGCATGCGTCACCTACTCACCTATTGACAAAAACTCACCACAATTCTGTATTGCAATGCCACTCCCCACTAATTCCCACTTCCCAACGACCTCTTTCTTCTCCACACCTCCTCTGCTCTGGGCTCTGCCTCTTCCTTCACAAATCCAAAAAAGCTTATGCGGCGGGGGGAGCTGCACACACTGCCACCGGCGGTGGAATTAAATTTTTAACAAACAAAATCAATAGACAACAAACATGATCCAGCAAGTCAATAAGGGAAATAGACAAGAAAAATAGAAAACTAACCCGAAGCGGACGTAGAGTGCACCGTCGACGAAAACTGACGGGGAAGCTGCACCGGCGTGGGTCGAGCGAGCTGGGGTCGACGGAGAGGACACGGCGCGGGGTCGACGGAGAGGTTGTGATGCTGGGCTGCTACGTCGTGGTTCACCGGTCTACGTGTGCTGGCGTCGGAGAAAACAACGATTGCCGATTGGGGTTCCAATTGGCGACAGGACTCGTGATCGTGACTTCATGAGGGATGGGTCTAGGTTAGGCAGGCAGAGAGCGATACTGCGAGAGAGGAGAGGAGAATTACTATTTACTAATTATTAATCTGTAATTCCTTTTGCTAATTGTAATAGAGAACTAATAATTAGGTCCAAGTGTGCGTCCTGCAAATTCGGTATCGGAAAACCGGATTTCCGTCGGTTAGTTGGCATCCGGATTCCGGTATACCGCCATCCCAAAATCACCATCCGATAACCGTTACTTCCCGGCTAACGGTTAACCGGTAACCGCGGTTATCGGTACGGTTATCGGTTAACCCATTAACCGGAAAACCGAATCCCACCCCTAGTTAACACTATTAGTTTAGTTAATCTCCTCATATGGATAAGTATCTGTATTCTCGACCTGATTGTTCAGAAAGGCTTTTCTGAAGTTAGTAAAGTTGTTATGGGTGAGTAAGAACATTTCCCTTTGGGGTATCAAACCATTGTAGTATGTTTCTTGATTCTTCTCTCAAAGTAGTTTCGTTGATGAAACCTTTCAAGTATTTCAAATTTTAAAGGTATCAATCCTATATAAATGCTTGAATAGGCTTGGGGAGTGTTGTAGAGGTCCTCCAAAATCAAGTTTTTTTTTTTACAGTTATTTGAAGGAGTTCAATATTAAACTAAAAGGCTCAATCACATTTGTTATTCAGAGATCTCTGCTCATGCTCGTGAGGCTGAGAATACACACTTGAGTGGATGTAGCACATGGTTGTTTATGATCATACTGAAGTTAATGTTGCTAAAGAGATTGAGCAGAAATGACTCTCTACAATAGGAAAATGCATCTATTAAAGGGATCTAACCAAAAAATAGTGCCTATTAATAGAACGAAGGAAGTAGAAGAAAGTTATGATTGTTGAGAATTGAGATAAATAGTAAAGTAGGAAGCATGTTCCTTTGGGTTAGAGGGTTAAGTGTTTCTGATCACCTTTTCTCGTATTTCCCATTTTCCCCTTTTCCTTCCATTTATCGATTCCTTCCCAAAAGGGACATTGTCTCAAACTATCCATGTATTGCCCTCCGTTTGAATCCAGATCCATAACCTATTTTCTAAATAAATAAAAAATTAATCCTTATGTTCTTGAAATCGATTTTGACACCACCCTAGATTTACAAGAGATGACCACAAAATGCACATGCTTTAAAGTTTAGCGTAACGATTCATTGTGCAACAACATCCTCCAGTTTGACTTGCGAGATGAGACGGGAAGATGATTTAGTGGCTTTTTTGTATTACGTAAGAGTAAGAGGGACATTTTTTTTGTTAGTCTACCTACTTACGATATCAAACCCAAATGTATAGCAATGGATTGCACCACGCCACCCCTATTATCATATTATTGAGGTATTCAAAAGAAATATTATGTTTTCAATATACTTGTGATAAGGAGGATGACAAATCCGCTATTGATCTATAAGCAAAGGGAAATAGCTTGTCTGTAAACCAAAAGTAACTTTGTGGTCGATTATTAATGAAGGTGAATTCAGGATGAATAATGCCTTTCACTTCACATATGATGATATGATTAAGCTTATTAAGCATGAGTTGCCATTAAATTTGAACTGAAATTTGTTAAAAATAAGAGTAGAGAGACTTATTGGTAACTATCCTTAAACTGGGTACGGTATCGGTAATTCTGGAAAACCGAACCCAAACTTCCCGCCCTGAGGACAAAAGGGTCTGGCTGGGTCGGGCGGGGCGTTGTCTTCGTCTGGTTTAGGGTTTCAGCGGAGGAAGTCTTGAGTTCCAAAATGTCACCGATGGTCTCTTCTCTCTTCTTCTTTCGATTTTCTTTATCGTTTTCGCCTTTTATTTCCCGCAACAACACAATTTCGCGACGACTGAAATTCTTATCTTTCAGCAGCAAGATGAAGAAGTAGGAGGAGAAGGAGGAATTGAAGAAGTTAACCGAGAAGAAGCTGATCGGAGATTGCTGTCGAAGGAATTGGAGAATTCAGTTGCAGCTCACCCGGAAGATGCCTCCCTTCGCTTTCAACTGGTAAGAAAGCAGATTGATGGGTTCCGTGGTCTTTCCTCCTCTTCCGCCCTTTTACTCTCTCTTAGTAGTGTGGTTAAATTCTCACTCAATTTGCATTTGCGGCTTATGCTGGCGGCTGCCAGGGGGTCTCCTTATGGGAGAATTCTGGGGACTCGTCCGAATCCAAGGAGAAAGCGGCCGAGCATTTCGTTGTCTCCGCCAAATACAACCCCGGCCATGGTCCTACTTTCAGATACTTGGGCCACTACTATTGCCGTGTCTCCCTCGATTCTCAGAGGGCTCTCAAGTGTTACCGCAGGGCCCTCGCCATAGACCCTGATGACTCGGAATCTGGGGAAGCCCTCTGCGATATGCTAGATAGCTCCGGAAATGAGACCCTGGAGCTGGCTGTCTGCAAGGAGGCTTGCGAGAAGTCGCCAAGGGCCTTCTGGGCTTTCCGCAGACGGGGTTACCTTCATCTCGACCAGAAAAGATGGTCTGAAGCTGTCCAGTGCCTTCAACACGCCATTCGTGGATATCCTGCTTCTGCTGATTTGTGGGAGGTAAGTATTATCTCTTCTCCTCCCTGGCAACTTGCCTCTCCTCTCTCTATATCTCATTGTCGCCCTAGTGAAATTCAATCTCTTGCATCTTCTGTGTAGGCACTGGGTCTTGCCTACCAGCGGCTTGGCATGTTTACTGCTGCTACTAAGGTCCGTCTCTTCTGCTTCTTTTGTGGTATCTCTTGTAGAAGTTGCCACAGGGCTTTTGTTCTACTTATCTTCTAGCAACCTGTGTTCTACTTTAGGATTTCTTTCTGATACTTGTCCGGCCAAATTGGATAAGTGACATTGCTTGAGAACTTATGAGTTATGACACAAGTAAACAAGACATGTCCAGATTTGAAAGAGATAAAAGGAAAAGGAAATCCAAAGAAACTGGTGCATTTCAGTCATGCCATAGAAAGCACAGCCCCAAGAAACCTATAACAAAAGCAATCAACCCTAGACGAGATTTTCACTTTAACACAAACCATTACCTCCTATTGTGCTGCTGGTAGTTTAGAAAAGACTTGATAGGGAATGCTTTTGATCTAAGGACATCTGAAACTAGCAGATCTTGATTCCAGCTCTTAACACTGTGTTTTGGATCTTTTGAATTCCTTATGCATTCCTTGTTATCTCGTGGAGGCAAGGCAGATCAGTTTCTGTTCAAGATCTTTTGGGACTCAGACCCTTTTGTGGGGAAATTTCTATTCATTGGGTGGATGCCTGATTTAATTTCTGAACCAGTCATATGGTCGCGCCATTGAGTTGGAGGATACAAGAGTCTTTGCTCTGGTTGAAAGCGGAAACGTCTTCCTGATGCTTGGTTCCTTCAGAAAGGTATCATTTGCCTGTTCCATGTGTCCACTTTTCATATGGTGTAGTTGCTTTCTTTCTTTCTTCCCTTTTGTTTTTGACTGTGTGAAGATCAGTTATGGTAAGATATAAGGTTTGACTGTTTATCTCTTTAACTGCTATGTGTGTCTGGCTTGATTTTTGTGTGACCTTCATTCACACAAGGGAATCGAACTATTTCATCAAGCCCTTCAGATTTCACCCAAAAACATATCAGCAAACTACGGGCTGGCATCTGGACTTCTTGGGTTATCAAAGGAGTGCATGAGTTTGGGTGCATTACGATGGGGAGCTTCATTGTTGGAGGTTGTTAGAATTTCAAGCTGTGTTTTTGTCTCTGACATATCTGCGATCAGAAAAGGAACTTTCTCACAGTTGTTTTTTCAATACGGCCAGGATGCCAGTAAAATAGCAGGTGCAAGTGCTCAATTGGCTGGAAACATTTCGTGCATCTGGAAGTTGCACGGTGACATACAGGTATACTATTTATAGTGACAGGCAGCCTTCATGAATCTGTTCAACCTCATTTAGACAACACCCACTCGTGCTGATTCAGACCTACTCATTAGCTCTTTGCATTTTATAAACATGCTAGTGACTTGACATATGTCCAATTTTCTTCCAGTTCTAAATGTAATGTAATCATTGAGGTAGTTGCTAGGGCGATTCTCTCAGCTATGTGAATACTGTTTTTCGTTTTGCCTCCAGTTCTCATGATAATACATGTACTGGAACTTAAAGTCCAAATTGTGCTGACTGATGGGAAAGAAAAGGCAGAAAAATTATTTAATGTTGATTTGTATATACAATTTACTCTAACGTGTGAAAGAAAAGACCTTTTTGGTCAAACAGGGTAGAGATTGGTGTAATGAGACCACAAAAACCCTTAAGACAAGCTTTTTGAGAGAAGCAATCTTGATTTGGTGTACAATAAAGGGAATTACCATGCTTAGTTGCTTCTCTTGAACTAACACAAGCCTTTTACTCTTCTTCATCTAGATGAAAGTGTTTGTAATAATACTTGGAGTTCTTGGTTACTAGAACTCCAACATTTGTCTCGTACATCCCAACTGCCCAAAGCAATAAGGAACAAAGAGCTGTGTGTGATTTCATAACTATGCATGTCTTAAAGGATGCCAAAATGATACTTCCTACTATGACATATATATCTTTGTTTTATTTATTTCCAGATGCTATGTGGTATGGTGTTTCATCCACAAGCGAAAATTCCAAATTCAGCCACCCTGCCTGTTGGGAATTTTCATTTTAGAACTACATAATAGTAAAACCTAGGTATGCTTATCTTTTGTTTGACTTGTATAGTTGGTACCTTTCTTAGATCATATGGTCAAGACAATCTTTGTTGCTTCGTTTAATTATAACATAGCAGGCTTTTAGCAGGATTGACTCTTAACAGATTTGCAAAAAGTTGAATCCTTTTTCTGTGTTCTTGTTACCACGGAATGGTCAACTGGATTTGGCATGTGAGTTCAATCTAAGTGAAAAGCCACAACTTGATTTGATAGCCCTACCATGTTTTCCTAGTTACAAGCTCATGGGTCGACTCTTTTGTTTGGTGCTTTCATATTGTTGATTCCATGAATACTGGTGGTTTTGTTGTTGGTCCTTGTGACATTAGTTTAATGTCTCTTCATCTTCCAGCTCACTTATGCAAGATGTTTTCCATGGGTGGAAGACGACAAAATGATACAATCTGACGCAAAAGCTTTCAATGGATCCCTTGTTTCTTGGAAGCAAACCTGTCTTTTGGCTGCCTTCTCTTCCAGAAGGTCATACCTAAAGGCTGTGCACTTGGCCCCATGGCAAGCTAGCATCTATGCGGACACCGCGATAGCTTCAGATATGATTTCATCTATGGAGGACGAGGATTCCAGTCATGATCTGTATTCTTGGTATGATGTCAACATGCTTTGTTCTTTTTATTAATTGTTTTGTTAGAATGCCCTTATCTGTTAACTTAACATTGTTTTTTCACCCAGGCAGCTACAAGAAAAGATGGCTTTGGGAGCATTGCTACTTGAGGGTGACAATTATGAGTTTTGGGTGACACTGGGTTGTTTGTCTCGTCATACAGCATTGAAGCAACATGCTTTAATCAGGGGTTTGCAGTTGGATGTGTCATTAGCTAGTGCTTGGGCATACCTTGGGAAGGTATTCTTCAAATCTTGTTGAACACCCCCACTCCACCCTTTTTCTGTCTTTCTCCCTAACGTTTATTACACTAACTAAGAAGACTTAACATCGCCAGGATCTGCTTTATATGGCCAATCATTCAGTATAGCAATAATATTATATGGTAATTTTCATGATAAGGAAACCCTTTTCTTGATAATTATTTAAGCCATAAATATATATTTGTAGCCCCTCTGTTAACAGCAAGAAGGTGCTGCATTTTGTCTATCACTCGGTTAGTTCAAGAAGCTGCAATCATGGTATAGGAACTCCGTCCTATCTGTGCCAGATTGGTACCAGTTTGGAGATAGAATCTTGCTGCTCCCGTAAGCCTCACCCTAGTTTCTATGCGTGAGATATGAGGTACTGATGTCCAATTCGGATTGGTTTCTTGTGTATTATGTAGGTATTACAAACATGTTAAGAGCACAATTCATAGGCAAATGATTATCAGTTTAATTCAACATGATAACCAATGTTCTAAAATGAACCTGGAAAGTAAACAGAAACTGCCAAAGACATCAGTATTAGTAGACACTAAGATTGATCTCTAACCTGGATTCAGGACCTGAACCATTGCTTCTGACCATGACTGATTTATATACATCAAAGAACCCTACTCAGCTTTGGCGCTGACTGTTGCTCAACCACTTTTGGTATGGCCAAGGGATCCTTCCTGTTGAGCGTAGATTTCATTATCATTTCGGGTAATGTTCTAAAATGAACCTGGAAAGTAAACAGAAACTGCCATAGACATCAGTATTAGTAGACACTAAGATTGATCTCTAACCTGGATTCAGGACCTGAACCATTGCTTCTGACCATGACTGATTTATATACATCAAAGAACCCTACTCAGCTTTCGCGCTGACTGTTACTCAACCACTTTCGGTATGGCCAAGGGATCCTTCCTGTTGAGCGTAGATTTCATTATCATTTCGGGTTGGTCTTGCTGTGGACAATATGACTTGGTTCAGATTCTGAATGCTGAATGGCCCGTGTGTCGTCCCCAACTGGGCCTATGCATTACGTTGAACTTTACATGAGGATTCTATTTGATTGCTATTAGGCCTGGTCAGTGCTCACCTCCTTCAAAATTGCTATGGCTGAATCACAGTAGTATTGTAACTGTTGCTGCCTTTTGCAGTGATTGAACATGGAAGCAGTCTGGATGTACTGTTAGCATCATTGCAGGCTGATTTTGTGATGTCTGGTTTGTTGGTTCTTCAGATCTACAGAGAAGAGGGCGAGAAGAAATTAGCAAGACAGGCTTTTGATTTTTCTCGAAGCATAGATCCATCACTTGCTTTACCGTGGGCAGGCATGTCAGCTGATTGTTTAAAGTAAGGTTGGGCATAAAATATGTTTTTGTTTACTTTCTCAGTTAAAACTGTTCCCCACATTTATAGTTATTTCCTTTGCAGGGGTCTGAAATCAGACGAGGAGTTCGAAAGCTGCTTACGTGCTGTGAATATATTGCCTGTAAATCTCTTTCTCAAATTCTACTTTCTGGATATGCTTGTATGAGAGAATTTAATTTTACATAACAGACTACGTGTTGCACGCGTTTATCTTATCTCGGCATCTCTGGTACTATGGTTTACCTTTTACTGACATGTTGCTCGAATACTCTATTTTGGGTTAATGCAGCTTGCCGAGTTTCAAATAGGTCTTTGCTATCTTGCTTTGCTTTCTGGGAATCTTGCATCTTCGCAGGTATGATTACTACTATGACTAACCTGATGGAATTATTCCTCTGCAGACTTCCGTGCAAATGAATTTTGCAAGCATATGTTAAGCAAGTTCTTTGAGAATATCGCCTGTCTACGCCGGGAAAAGCCTTACTAGGAACTCTTTATATTGTACAGGTTTATGCAGCCATCATGCAGGCAGTACAGCGATCACCTCAATCTGCTGAAGCTCATAATTTAAACGGGTTAGCTTGTGAAGCACGATTTGAGTATGAGAGTGCTGTTGCTTCGTATAGGATAAGTCGCTGCGTCATGCACAACTCTTCTTGCAAATCTTCAAAGTCTCATTTCCGAGATATAACAATCAATTTGGCTCGATCTCTCGTTAAGGTTATCTTAGTGAACTTGTAATATCTGGTGTATGCATGTTTGGTCTGTTTCTCAGTTAGTTCTTTGGTCGAACTTCAATAACACTATTGCCTGGGGCATATTACTGTCCATGCACCATTTGATTTGTCTTAAACTTCTTGGTCACAGGCAGGGTGCGCTTTGGATGCTGTTCATGAATGTGAATATTTGGATAAGGAAGGTAATTTAGGTTTCTGTAATTGCTCTCAGGAAATGATCCATTGGTTCATTTGGATTTGTATTATATTATGGATCTGAAGCTGGGATAGATGCATCTTTATATCAACTTGAAAGTTCAAGATGTTGCTATGCAAAAGAATGAAATTGAATGCCTCTTTATTGATCTGATTTGCATGATTCGAATGATAACTCTTGCTTCATAGCTTTAATTGCTAATCATATGTAGTTGTATAATACACGAGGCATATTGGTTACATTGACAATTGAAAGATGCACTTTGTCTGAATGTTTTTTATTTATGTATTTAGGTATGTTGGATACTGAAGGAATGCAGATATATGCTTATGCTTTATGGAAACTTGGGGACAACAACCATGCCCTTGTTGTAGCACGTGCTCTAGCTGCTGCTGTTTCGACAGTCGGGAAAATATCTACATCTGCTATTGTTAGTTTTATCAGCAGACTGCTTTATTGCATTTCTGGAATAGATCTAGCAATCACATATCTGCTAAAGATGCCGAATGAAGCCTTTGACAGCACAAGCGTTAGCCTAGTAGTGCGCGCTATCCATGCTCTTGACCAGAGTACGAGGCTTCAGTCAACTGTTTCAAACAGATGTTATCTCCTTTTTTCTGGTGCGGAGGCTGTCGAAATGAACTATTTGATGGCACTTTCTGACCTGGTAAATGTCAGTCTGTTTGCAGCATCTTGGCTTCTGACTTCGTTTCTTTTGGCTGATGGTTGATCTTTTATTTGTTGATATTTGCTTGTTGTTTTTGGCATGCAGGTGAAACATGGATCTGGTGTTCACCTTGCATATGGATGTGGCATTACTCAGCTGAGAAGAGCTCTCCATCTTTACCCTAACAGCATCTTGATCAGGTAGCATACAACTTGAAAAAAGGAAAACATGCAGATTATTCTTTCAAGAGCGCCGAAACTCTTGGAGTCTTCATATAAGTAATCTCAACAAAAAACACATTTTTAGAATGTTGTTTTTCTTATTAGCTTCCACTCTACCCTTGGCCTGCTCAAGGAGTTTGATATTTGATTGATAATTTTGTATGAACATGGTGTGGTTATGACAGCCTGGTGAAGGCAGCTGCAATTTCTAATTCTGTGAGTTAGTAAAAATTTGAATTTGGGTATTGTAGTTGCTCCTTGAACTAGGTAAAGTTTTTGTTTTACAGTACAGACATCTTGTGATAACCGCGGAGAGAAATGTCGAGGAACTTGGGCTTGTTTGCTGTTACAAGAATAGCGGCACTTATCATATGAAAACCATATTTTGTAAATATTTGTCTGCTTGTTTTTTCTTCTTAATGTAATACTCTGATGCAAATGCCGTGGATGCAGAAACCTTCTAGGTCATCTTTTGCTATCTAAAGAATGGAAAGACACTCATGTAGCAAACAGGTGCTGCATAATCCGTGCGCCATTTGGACCACGCAAAGACGGCTTAAGATCAGGATATGACATTCTTGGTGCTGCTACGGTATCTTGCTATTCTAGTGGCAGTCAGGACCAAAAGTTAAGTTTCCCCGCATGCAATTGTATGTGTCAGGAAACTCCAAGAACCATCCACGAATTGCAGAAGTATGTGATTTTAGTTTGGTTAATTTTAGTGTCTTGCTTTCACTAACAGATCATGCTAATTACTAGCCCAAAACAGATCGTAAAGAAAAGCTGTTCCTGTCTGTGTTTTCTCTCATCTAAATTTTTTTTGTATAAGGGAAGCAAAATGATGGGTTGTCTCGTCTAAATGATCAATTATTTGTTATAAAGTACAGTTTGATAAGATTTGAGTGTTTGGCAATATAAAAACCAATAATTATTTGACAGCCTAAAATAAACGTAACTTTGAGAATAGATTCCTACCTACATTAAGAGGGTAACATCGAAAATGAAATTGTCTTTAATGATGTGGCTCTTAGCTTATTATAATTGTAAGGTCCTTGAATGTTTGTTTTAAAAATTTGTAAAATATGAAGTATCTTCATTTGAGCTACTTTCTCAAAACCGAGATAGGAAATATTGTCTGTATTTCTGCCGTATGTTGCTGCACCATCTGAGTTTGCAGTGTATAGTAGAACCCTTCTTAAGAAGTTTGTTTCTGGATTAGAAGTGTAAGAACGATTCTGTGATGCTTATGCTTGATTCTATATTTTGGTTGACTATTATACAGTCGTTTACGCTTGTGTTCTTGCTTCATGTGCAGATACTTGCGCCAAGAGCCATGGAATGATAGTGCAAGATACTTGCTAATCCTTAATCTTTTTCAGAAGGCACGTGAAGAGCGATTCCCTTCACAAACTTGCAGCACTCTTCAGAGGCTTATCTCTGCTGCTCTGTCAAAGAGAGAGCCCCCAAGTGACTGCATGTTTAACCATTATAAGAAGTTTCAACTTCTGCTTGGTGCTTCTGAAATTAGTTTGCACTGTGGCAATCTTACTGATGCCGAGGTCTATGCTAAAGATGCATCTTTACTTCCTCTCCCTCATAAGTATCTGTTTTTTGGACACTTGCTATTATCTCGAGTTTATGCTGCCAAAGGTGATCATATGAATGTTACACTAGAATATGCAAGATGTCTGGAGCTGAAGACTGATTATCATATTGGATGGATATGTCTCAAAATCATGGAATGTCAATACGCTTTGCAAGCTGATTCAAGTGTATTGGAGTTGAGTTTCAGGGAATGTTCGAAACAGTGGAAAAAATCATGCGATGTGTGGATGGCCCAATTCAATTTGGTTCTGGGTTTAGCATATCTCTCAAACAATGATCCTTTTTCAGCTGAAGATTGTCTTACACAAGCATGTAGGCTGGTGGAAACCGAGAGCTGTTTTCTTCTCTGTCATGGTATTATTTCTTTGTCTTGTGTTACTGGCCAGGTCCTCAGTTATTCTCTCTGGCACTAAAACATATTAGACTAATTAATGGATTGCAGGAGCCATCTGTATGGAACTTGCCAGGCGGTTGTCTAGTTCCCAGTTTTTAGTGCGTTCGGAAAGGAGTCTGGTTAAAGCTAGCCATCGTTTTGTGATTCCTGTGCCTATCACATCATTACTTCTAGCACAAGTTGAAGGGAGCCTTGGTCGCAGAGAAAAATGGCAGAAGAACCTCCGCCTTGAATGGTATTCTTGGGCACCAGGTATGCATTCTTACGATTACCACGATCATCTTGTTAATTCTCCTGACTAAGGTGCATTCGATTGACTCGAGTATAATGCTGACTTTTTTTGTTTGTATCACTATCTTGGCTTGCATTAGTAGACACGCCGACTAGTCTAATTATTGAAGCTGAGATCTTGCTTTCAATTTCTGTATTGACTTGTTTCGAGTCCGGTCTGCATAGGGTGATATACATGCAACTCATTGTGCATTTTGATTTGAAATTAATCTGACATGTACGTTGACTTGCATAGATAGATTATTTAGCATCAAGATAAAAGCTCCACCGTTTGACTTCGGGTGTCATCTTGTTTGAAATTTTGCTTGTGTGCCCAACATTTTCCACGTGCAGTCTCCTTCATCGGCTGCCTAACCTGATTGAATTTTCCACAGAGATGAGACCAGCAGAACTTTTCTTTCAAATGCATTTACTTGCAAGAGAATCCGGAGCTGCTGCTGCTGCTGCTGCATCTTCAAGCCTGGAGTTGTGTCAAAGCCCTGAACAATGGGTTCTTAGAGCAATTCATAGCAATCCTTCCTGTTCTAGGTATTGGAGGGTCTTGAAGAAGCTTCTTGACTGAGCTGCTCAACTGAAATAGCACGAACTTCGGTACAAAGTCGGTGGAAGGCGCGATCTACCTATAGATGTTGATGGTCTTATTGTAGTTGGTTATTATGTGCCAAAACTCTCGGTTCATGTTTAATCCAACCTCTGCTCTCAGCTCTTGCTTTTCAGACCACCTGCTGGCTTGTTGCATGCTGCACACCCAGATTAATATCAAGAAGCTGTTGCACTAGTTTAGCCTCAGACAATGTAATTCACTGAATCTGCTACTGTTTTTGTGCAAGTCAAGGGATTTTCTCCACGGGATTCGTTTGTCTTCTTTACATGCGAATTTATGTCGTATTTGGCCATCAAATTTGAAATGTTGAACTGTTTTCAAATATGTAAGTAGAGGTGTGAATTTTCCATCTAATTCATCCACTTAAATATTTAATTAATTCTATTCATTTAAATCAAATCTAATTCATCCACTTAAATATTTAATTAATTCTATTCATTTAAATCAAATTCATTTGATCAAATTCAATTGAATTGGTGGATTTATTGATCTATATGATAATTATGATTTAGTACCTGTATTTTTTATATTTCACTTTTTAGTTTCTAAAATTATTTATTCGACGAAAAATATATTGAAAAATTATGTTTTGGTACCTAAAAATTTCATTATCACATTTTGGTACCTAAACTTTTTGAAATTTACATGAGTTGGTCCAAGCATTGAGTGTCATTTGGATTCATGGATTAATCCACCAATTCATTTGATCTAATTTATGAATCCACCAATTCATATAATCCAATCCATATGATCAATGGATCCACTAATCAAATCCACCAATCCATGGATTAAATCCATTTGTCACCTCCATACGAAAGAAAAGAGATCGGTGCCAATTTAAAACAATCATCCGTTCGAACATGAATATCAATGAATTCCCGAAACTAATACTAGCGATCAAATATATGAGCAACCTTTTCCTTCACTTCCCTTTCATATAGCCCACAATAATTTTGACAGCTCTCACACTATGACCATCGTCCATCTACAATGGGAGAGCCAAAGTGCCAAATACGACTCACAAACAGGATGCTTTTATGGCGATGTCGTCGGCGGACTATGAAACACAAGAAACTCTTCCGTTTTGATAACCGTTGGACTTCTAATCCGGAAGCTCGCCTTATTATTGATTATTATTGGAATATACCTGTTTCGGGATCCCCGATGTACTGCCTTCATACCAAGTTGAAACGTGTCCGGCATGCACTTTTCCAATGGACGTTGGGGGGATGTACGAATTCCCGTCGGCGCATTCATGACCTCACCCATGCTATCCGTCTACAACGGGAGATGCCGATGCCGAATTGGGATTCCATTCGAGTGTTGGAACGAGAACTTACCATTGCTTGGGAGCAGGAGGAGGCTTATTGGCACCAACGCTCTCGTGTTAATTGGTTGCAGCGTGGGGACCGGAATACTAATTATTTTCATAGGGTTACTCAAACCCGTCGTGCTCGAAACTTTGTATCCTCTCTTCGCACTACTACCGGTGTCATTGTTGAAGATGAACAGGAGAAGGGCATGGTCTCGGTATCTCACTTTTCGACTTTGTTTACCTCAGAAACTTCTCCTGCCGACGTTATTTCTGCAGTGGATTCTTTGCCATTACAACCCAAAGTCACGGCTGCTATGAATGAGGCTCTTCTGGCACCAGTTCTTGATTCCGAAATTCGTCATACTTTATTCCAGATTGGTTCTTCAAAGGCTCCGGGTTCGGACGGTTTCACGGCCTTGTTTTTCCAACATTTTTGGGACTTAGTTGGTCGTGATGTTTGTGCTGCGGTAAAATCTTTTTTCCGTACTGGGAATTTGTTGCGCTCCTTCAACCATACCTGGCTTACTCTCCTTCCAAAGGTGCCTCAGGTAGAGACATGTGCGCAATTGCGGCCGATTGGGTTATGCCAAGTTTTCTACAAGCTTATTTCCAAGATCATTGCTACTCGTCTTGGGCAGGTGTTACATAATGTTATCTCCACCTTTCAGAATGGCTTCGTTAAAGATCGTTCGATTATTGATAATGTCATTCTTAGTCAAGAAGTTATGACGTACCTTCGTAATAAACGTACTGGTTACGAGCGTTTTATGGCATTGAAACTTGATATGGAGAAGGCTTATGATCGGATTGAATGGCCCTACCTCTTTCGATTAATGGAAAAATTGGGTTTTGCTCCACGAGTGATTGCGCTTCTCCACAATTGTCTCTCCACGACCTCCATTTCGGTCCTACTCAATGGTGCCTCTTACGGGTATTTTCGGCCATCTCGTGGTTTACGTCAAGGGGATCCGCTTTCACCATTGCTTTTCGCAATTTGCACGGAAGGTTTTTCAGCATTGATATTGCAATCCATTACTCGCTCAGAGCTAAAGGGGATTCGTCTCAATAATCATTGTCCGGTGCTCTCGCATTTATTTTTTGCGGATGATGCTTATCTTTTTCTTCGGATTTCTCCGATTGACTGTCAACGATTATTGGATCTGCTTCATCGATATGAACGGATGAGTGGCCAGCGGGTCAATTTAGCAAAATCAGCAGTGGTGTTCTCTAAAAATACCACAACGCAGGAGGCGACGCTTTTTGGGACCACCATGTGAATTGGTGCAGTTGGGGTTCGTGATCGCTACCTTGGATTACCTTCCCTGATCCGTCGTTCAAAGCGGGATACGTTTCGTTTCATTGAGGAAGCGGTGGCTAAACGTCTCCAAGGTTGGAAACGACGTTGTTTATCACCAGCAGGTTTGGAAGTACTGATTAAATCAGTCGTGTCGGCTCTTCCTGTTTATGCTATGTCGTGTTTTCGCCTTCCAAAGGAACTCTGTCGGAATTTAAACCGTATGATTGCTCGATTTTGGTGGGGTCAACAAGGGACGGAGCGGCGTCTGCCTTGGGTCTCTTGGAGGCATCTTTGTAAACCAAAAGGGGATGGTGGATTGGGCTTCCGGGATTTTGAGGCTTTTAATCAAGCACTGCTTGCCAAACAATGTTGGCGCATTTTGACGGATCCCACTTCCCTAGTTGCGCGGGTCTTGAAAGGAAGGTATTTTCATCAAACGAGTTTCTTGAATGCTGGTGTGGGTTCTAACTCCTCTTGGGCTTGGCAATCACTTCTTCATGGCCGGGCATTGTTACATCGTGGTGTGCGTTGGGAAGTAGGAGATGGTTCTTCCATTGATGCGTTGTCGGATCCTTGGGTTCCTTCAATCCCAGGTTTTCGTCCAATGGTCTTGCCCGCTGCTGATCGGACACCTCGTTTCCTCTCTTATTTCATTTTTCCCATTCATCACTCTTGGGATCTTCAACTTCTTGGAGAGTTCTTTACGCAGGATTCCATTACATGCATCATTCGCATTCCTTTGCCACGTCTAATGTGCCCGGATAAGTTGATTTGGCATTTTGATCCTCATGGCTTATTTACGGTAAAGTCGGCTTATCGGTTAGCGACTACCTTGTGTCCAGTTGCCCGGACTCAGGGTTCAGTGGACCAGGTTTCTCCACTTGATCCTAATTTATGGCCTCGACTTTGGGGTCTTCCTCTGGCGCCCAAATTGAAATTTTTCCTATGGAGGATTTTATTAAGAATCCTACCGGTTAGAGAGGATATTGCTCGGCATGGTGTGCAGGTGGAAAATTTATGCCCTATTTGTGGTTCAGAAGAGGGGGAGTCACTGGAGCATTTATTTCTTTCGTGTCGTGTGGCACTTGGCCTCCGCCATCGGTGTGGCTTACAGCTGCCTCCGGGAATTTTTCCAAATACTCATTTATCCATATTTTTAAGGCACATTATTCTCAATTTCGATCATTCTACCATAAGCAATTGGGTTCTCTTTTTTTGGCGACTATGGAAAGGGCGGAACAATGTTGTCTTCACACCCTATGCGCAATTTACCACTGCTGCCTTGTACCGTCAATTCCTCTCACATCATGCCTCTCATCAAATTGCCGTCATTCCCTGTCAGTCGCCACCGTTACAGCCCAGACCCCAGCCACATTCTCGTCCATTGCTTCAATCTAGTTTCCGCATTGCTGTTGATGGGGCTACCAGGGCTCCGACTCATGGCGCCATCGGTATGGTTGGGTTTGATCATCTTGTGCCAGTTTTTGCAAGGGGTGGTTTCTTCCCTGGTCTTTTTCATCCCAAGATTATGGAGGTGTTGGCAATTCGAGAAGCGCTTTTATTACTTCGTCAATGGCATTGGCAGGATCGACCGGTCGTGATCACAAGTGATGCTCTTGCTGTTGTTCACCATTTGACGGTTTCTGATGCCAACGATGCTCTTGCGGGAGCTATCTTACGAGAAGTCATCTTAATGTTACAGGAAATGCCGCTGGTTTCTGTTGTTTTTACTCCTAGAGAAGCGAATAGGGCTGCCCATGTTGTGGCACGTAATGCCTTATGCTACTCTGGCACCAGTAGTGTTCGTTTTGACTGTTCATTCCTCCTTTGACTATCTTCTCACGAAGAAGCCGTTATTTTGTGGCTATCTCGTGCTTATCTAGTTAATCCGCAAGGGTTTCTATGACAAAAAAAAAAAAATACGACTCACAAACAGGCAAGGGAAGGCCACTCGCAGGGTATGTGAAGACACGAAACGCGCTGGTGTGACTGGACAACTGGTCGTGTGATGCGAAACACACGCGTCCCTCCCTTTTTTTAATTTTCCAAATTGCAGATCAACCCTCCATAAAAATTTCTCCACCAACCCCCAATTTTTCCTCCAACAACTCTTTTCTTTCCCAATAGCTATATTTTTAAAGTTTTCCTATAAATACCACCACATACTTCCCTTCTAAGTACCATGGATTTGACCGTAAAAAAAAATTTAGTAATTACACCATGATTGCATTTTCCTCTATTTTTTTTACCAAGATAATCATATATGGATTCAAATGATAGGTAATTACATCCTGGAGTTCAGCCAGACCTGAAAATCAAACACACGACTCATAGTCGGGTACAGAGAAAGGGCTTTTCGAGCCACCAAGTGGGCTACCCTATTGCTACGCCTACTTACAAATCGCACACTAACCCACTATGAGTGGTAAAATACTGCACAATTTCTTCAAGAATCGCTCTCATCCGAATATCGTTGTTATCTGTCCGATTGATCTTCTCAATAGCTACTTTGGCATCACCGTCAAATCATATCTCCGTGAATCCATGAGCCAGACACCATAGGATGGCCTCACGAAGTGCAAGTAATTCAACCACCATAGGGTCGTCAATGGAAGGGAACTGCACCCCTGGGCCAAGAGGATCTGTCGAGGCAACAATAGCCATAAACAGTGACGGTTGGTGGATAAGAGATATCAGCTTCTTTAAGAAGAGAGGAAAGGTGTGCCGACGCAATCATTGTCCAAGATGCTCCATCCCTGAAAGATCCCAAAGCGCACGAGCTACCGTGTAATCAAGAAATAAATGCTCCATCATTTCTGATTCGCATCAGCAGACTGGACACCTAGGAAGCATAGGGACATCCTTCT